GCAAGGTACATCCTGTATCCTGTAGGTTATGGAAAAAAATGTTGATATCAAGAGCATCGTGGAGGTCACTGAGGGTCATGGAACAGCCTGTGATCGACTGCAGTTTCCACTTCAGTCTGTTTGTTCAGATTGTAATCACACTGACAATACAGCATCATGCTCAACGATATCACTTCTGAACAGAGAATTTAATCAGCCAAAGCATCTGCAAAAGCAAGCTTAGAAAACGTACTGTACATGAACAGACCTGAGTCGGACCATACGATTAGGTTGTAAATCTGCCTGATGTTTCAAACCTTTTTCACTCCATAACCACGTAAAATGATGCCACCATTCGATTGCAGGTACTCAACTTGTTTCTTCTTGTCCACTCTTTGTCATATTACACTATTACCAACCAATGGCCAAATCATTTTTTTAATGTGCAAGTTTTCAAATGTATACAGTGCATCACAGTTGCTCAGGGCTCAGGTAATGATCAATCATGGCTCACCTGTTTTCTGAGTTTGGTCATGTGACTTTTGAAAGATGATCCATGATTAGCTGAGGAGAAAAGGGACATTTTGAGAGTAGTTAGTCATTTTCTGAACTCTCCAAAACAAATTGATTACCGTATTTTCCGCACTATAAGGCGCACCTAAAATCATTCCATTCTCTCAAAAGCATACAGTCGGCCTTTTAATCCGATGTGCCTTATACTGTATGTGGTGTTACAGTCTCTTTCTATTTCTTTCTATTCCCCATTGAGTTGTTTCCCTGTTAGTGTTCCTACGCAATCTAGTGGTGATTATGAGCAGGAACAGGATTGTCAGCAGAGTAAGTAAATACAGTGACACAGCAGTTAAATTGGAAACACTGAGCCGCTGCTTGCTTCGTTCTCTAGCCTGATTGTACTCAGAATATATAGGGTACAGAACCGTCTGCTCCGCAAAACTCAATGATTTGAACTCTAGTATGAAAAGTGGATATTAAGTCTATTGTACTTCTTTATCATGTGTGTATTTTGACGGAAAGTTGTCAAAGAACTTCTATTATGATAGCTGAGAAGAGTTTTTAATTGTGAAAAAAAGTTGCATCATTTGCTTCCTACAAACAGAGTCTACTTAATTATTGGAATTATTATTTTCATGCAGCTCCAAACAGAAACAACAATATGCGCTGCATTATTTTGAGAAAAATGTCATGTCCAAGGTTATGTCACATTCATTGATGTTGGCTCGCTCAATAGTACTGGCTGGATTCATATTTCCTGAGATAATGATTCCTCCTTGATGAAGGTGAGTCATGCAGTAAAGCGGCTGCACTTGCTCATATGATTGATGGCTGCAAGGACTCATCAAGATTGACAAGAGTGAAGGCAAATTTTTTTATGTTTGTGGTCTCACGCACACACGCTTACCAATAACACTTTTCAACTCAAGTGCTTTGAAGTTGCTTTGACATGCGACAATTTATAATAATTATACAGTTTGGTATTTAAAAAAAAAGTATGCTGACATTTAGTATCTTAAGGTGATTTTATATGAGTTACAGTTGCAACTTGAACAGCTTGGATACCAAAACTGAATTTTCCGAGAACACGGCAGTTACGTAAAATCTGACCTGTAAGGTCACTGGTTGTCTAGACTGGAACGCGCTGTCCATCAAAACGGTGGAACATACTGCTGCTTTGTACCGCTGAACAGTAACACGCTTGCCAAGTTTTCATTAAGAGTTGGACTGATTTGAAATGCCGACTCGATGGCAGATACAGAATCAAACATCAAATTTGAAAATCTTGGCTGGCTTTGCCTCTCATGTCAACTTGAAATGAACCCTTCAGTGTATTGCATTTTACGGTTATTTTTCGGCGACGGCCGCCGTCGACACATATTCCAAGGCCCAATTTTGTCTCTAATACCTTCCTGAGTGGCCCGTTGGTCCAGTGGTTAGTGCGTTAACCTCACATTGCAGAGGTACTGGGTTCAATTCCAGCTCCTGCAGGGCAGGTTAATCGAAGACTCAAACTTGTTGAAATGTTCAAGCATTATCTAAAATGGATGGGTGGATGTTAAAGATTTATCACTGTACCTATGGCCGACTGAAACGAAAAAGAGTTTTGGAATACCTGACCGTTGTGCCAGAAATGAAAGCAAATATATAGTCTGTTTCCACTTAACAGCTTTATAGCTTTTTCAAATAGAAGGAGGATTGTGTTTAAAAGCCAGGTGGTTTACCTCTGAAATCTGACAATTGACTATCGAATCTATACTTTTCTCTCTCTCCGATAATAAAAAATCAGCATGTTCATGTGAATTGTTTACAATACCTTGTGTATGCAGCCCCTATTTACACACCCCTATGTGGAAGCTAGTTTGTATATTTGATACTTAGAGTTAAAGAAAAAAAAAGAATGTAAACCAAATTTAGACCAAAGATAAAAGTCATGTAGCAACCATTGGTGGTATCCACCCACTGACCACTGACATACTTTATAGCTTTTTTTTTTTACTTCTTTGGAATGAGGCACTATAAATACTTGTATGCATGTACGTCTAATGTGACAGCTGGACTTGCCATGAGTTACATTTAGGTTCCCATTTTAAATTTAATCTTTGTTTGTGGCCTCTCTGGCTCTCTCTTATGACATTACACTGCATCATGTATGATGCCAAACAATCAGTAATGTTGTGAATGTGTGGGGTCGGTAGTTTGGTCGTGACCAAAGACCTTTGACTAAAGCCTGATTATCTGACAGTTCTTTTTTATTCTCCATGAAGACAACTGGGAGTGCTGCGTGCCAGACTGGAATGTAGGGCACGTGACTTTGGAATGCCCATTTGTTGCTCAGGAGAATTCAATATGGTCAAGGCGTCACTGACCAGGCAAGGTGGTTCAAACAGGAAAGGCATTGAAGTAATGACGAATTCATGCCATTCCTCGCTGACCCTAACTAAGACTTAATTGTCAAATTCAAAATTGTCATCAAAATTGCGCTATTATTATCAAACTTGTTGTTCAAAAGGTCCTTATTTGGGACTCAGACAGGTGCACGTGTGTTCGGGGTAAAAAACGGCGCGTTTCATTCCTGTTCCAGGGCAAGTCTATTTGACCATGTTTGGGAATTTGGCAGACCACACTGCACCATGCTTGGCGTTCCAGCGGACCGAGCGCATTTTCTTTTACAATTTTTCATCAGACCTATTGGGAGGCCGCATAGGCTGCATTGGACTGCACACAGAAAACACCCATGCACACAATGCTTTGCACTAGACTTAATTGTGTTGGGCACAAAAAATAGGGCTCTTAATGTGAAGAGAGAAAATAGCAGGGAACTCACAAAGGAATCAGAAATACATACATCATCTCTTTGCTATAATCTGACCTTGCGCTCATCTGTTCCGTTTTTTGACCGAAAACACAATATCCATCCATTCATGTACAGCATATCCTCACTACAGTTGTGACCAGTTGAATAAAGAAGCTCAAGTGTAGAATCACCACACACAAATCATTGCGAAATTACAGGAATTTTAAAAGTGGAACACTTTTTCATGGCACACTGCAATCGTAATAATGAACATTTTGCTAATCATTTGCAAATGTTTTGTTGTGACGGTGTCACTAATGAAAGTTACCGTGCTTAACATCGTTAAACGTTTGATATTTTCTTAACTTAGACAGTCTGTAGTCAACATGCTCTGTTGAATCATGATGAGTGGCCCTGCAACATGAGCGCAACTGACACTGTACCATAGTAGTGTATGGATTTTCATGGCATTGGGCCCACTATTTAAAAATAAAGCACTGAACTCCTGATCTTGTCACCACTATTCACAGCATCACACATGCTTCATTACTACTGCCGAGTCGAGCAAGCTTTTAACCTGTCGGGACATTTGTGCTGTCTCATTCAAATGTGCCGAAGCTGCCAAGATGAGACCTGGAAGTATTTGTGTGTGCGCTGCTGGCCTGTACGGGACCCAAAAATTACAGTTACGTACAACCTGTAGCAAGTAATGAAATTAACCAAGTAGCACCCCGAGAAGTAAGATGAGGCATGCACGTCAAGTGTGATTTTGTCCTGGTTCTTTATCTTTTTTCTTTGAACTGAGAGATACACTGTAGGCCTTACTATCTTGTGTTCTTTTGCCTTGTGCGCAAGACTTATTTCCCCTGGAAAGCGGGTAGCTTCAGAATTGTTGCAGTTCAGATTTCGCTTTCTCTTGAGCCAGAATCTTTAACAGACAAGCTCTTGACAATGCGTATTTTCGTAAATGCCATTCCATCAGTCTTCAAAGACATACTGTTCTCAATTTACTATTCAGCACAACATTCCTAGTTGCAGTGTTGTTGCTTTTGCACATATTTGCATTTGTTTCACATTCTAAAACACTTGCTCACAAATTCTGCTTTGTCTGATGATGCTTTCTTGGCGCTTACACATCCAGAGGAGAGTACGAAAGATCACAAACATTACTAGTCTCAAGGACAGGTTGAGATTAGAAACACACAAATGCATGCATACAAGAGACAAAAAACACACACTCCCACTTTGATGAACCACCGTGTGTGTTGAAGAATGAACCCACTGAGTCACAGTTTTCAGCCAGGCCCTCTCCATCATGATGGAAGGCATGCTGCCTCTAACATGATTAATGGAGAAAAATTAGGCTTTGAAAAATGTTGCGTACGTTGATTGATATATGATAGGGAGCTGCATATAGGCGGCATGATGACCAACTGGTTAGCACATCATCTTCAGGCATTCCAGCTTCTTCCCACATTCCAAAAAAAATCATGTTAGGGCCACCGAAGATTCGAAATTGCTCATAGGTTTGAATGTGAATGTGGATGATGACCAGTTTGGGAGTGTATACTGCCTCAAAATCAGATTGGATGGGCTCCAGCTCAAGCGTTAAAAAAGTAAAAAAAAAAAAAATAAATGGAAGGGCATGTTTGCAAAAACTCTCATTCATTATCAAGTCGGATTACATCCTTTTTATCTGTCTTTGGACCAGGTGGGAGATGAGATCCAAAAGCAGTGAGTTGGCACGGCCAACCGATGTGGTGCTCGGGGTTGCACAGGATGACCATGACATCAGCCCTGAGCAGGATGTGTGTATTGCTGTGAAGAATATGAAGGCCAAAGTACAGCAGCAGGAGGGTGAAGATAACATGGAGGTGATATTTGACAAAGAGCAGACACTGATGGACTCCAAGACTGGAGAAAAAGGAGGTGCTGTCATGAACCTGTCCAAACAGGATCTGCTCAAACTGCTGGGGATCATGGAAGGAGAGATTCAGGTAACATCCTATCTGACCCTCAGCCAGTGTTTCACCTGAGAAATAATTCAGTTAGGTCTCACTTATTCCATATTTGCACATACCTTTGCCTGTTAGCACAGGAGCACACAGTCAATTCTAACTATGCATAGCACAGAGTGTGAGTGGGAATAACACACGAGTCTAGGACCGAAGTTGATCTTGACCACCCCCTTGTGGTTAAGGAGGATTCTTAGCCTTCACAGAAAACAACCTTTTCCCCAAACTCAAGAACAGTTCGAAATCCCTCCTCTGTACAGCATTGCCAAGATTTCACTAATGCAGTGATTCATTTCTGTATCTTAATAAAACATCCACCAAAAAGCTCCACCACTATTCGGTGATTACAGTATTTGATTGTGATGCTAGATGATCCAGTAAACTTTGACCTGAGACCCATTTCCCCTGCATATTTTTGGGAAGTGAGAGAATTACCAAATTACAGCAAGCCAACATCATTTTATCATTTCCTGCTGTATTTTTTTTTGTGAGCACTCCTAGTTGCACAACTCTTTTTATATCTCTGTGTGCCTGCAGGCAAGAGAAGATATTATCGGCATGCTAAAATCTAAGCAAACCCCTCAAGTGACCAGTGTATCAGCAGACACCTGCACAGCAGGTAGCTCGGCCCTCCAGGCTCTGCAAAGGGATTGCCTCATCACCGGCACCCTACCACACATCCACAGTGTCTACCAAAAGCCAATGATTGAGGTCAGTCACAGCAAATGTTTTGCAAAGTTGATTATCCCGTCTCTTAAAATGAGCACAGCTTGTGCCTTGTTCTTTGTGCTCTTTTGCAGCTGGAACGCCTGCAGGAGAAGCACAGGGAAACCTACAGGCGGATGCTGGGACAATTGCTGCTTGCTGAAAAGTGCCACCGTCGTACTGTCCATGAGCTGGACAGCGAGAAGCGAAAACACGTCGATTACATGAACAAAAGTGATGACTTTACCAATCTCCTTGAGCAAGAGAGAGAAAGGTGAGGAAAGACATATTGGATGTGTGTGTGTGTGTGTGTGTGTGTGTGTGTGTGTGTGTGTGTGTGTGTACCTGCAGTACATTAACAAACTTCAATATTGGGGTATACCTTACCTTGTCTTTTAAAAATCTGTTTATTATTGTGGTTGTGTAGTTGGCAGTGATAGAGAACTAAAGCGCTTGTTTTTGATCATTGTTTTGATTTTGCCCCTCTCAGATAGAAAAAACAATGAAGGCAAAATACGGAAGTATTAAAGATTAGAAAGTACTAGTGAAGAGGTGGGCAGAATGGAAACTTCAGATGTGCAAGGTGCGGGGTTGCTCATTGAAGGGGATAAGGGCAGTACAAAATAGAAACATAATCAAGAGTCGATTACATCACTCCTGAAATGATGTCATCCCAAAGCTTGTGACCTTTCCCTTTTTGGTCATGAGGGAAACTGCAACTGGTAAGTGGGATGGAGAGGCAGAGGGAGGGGTGCCGTACAGCACGGATATTCCATCACGTGGATACAGAGGGCCTCACAACGATCAAATGAAACAAACTGAGCCCCGACTGCCGATAATTAAACTACTCACAGATGAAAGAGAGTGATTGGCAGTTTCTTTGCTCAAGGAAGAATTGTTCATCTTCTGCGAAACCTCGAAAATTGATCATAAATTGGTCCGGGATACCAGTTGACACTAGTTCTGTCAGAACCCCCCCAACCCCCCCACATCCCTCCATCTGCAATAATGAACATTTAGTTTAACTAGTCCATGGTCAAACTGTTGCCATTTGGGTAATTGAATCTTCCCACATTGTCCAGTGAAGACTGTTTGTGCTTATTGTTGGCACGTGTCGAATTAAGATCAGAAATTGAAACACGCTAATGAATATGTAAATGCTGAAAGGTTCTGCCACTCCGATGAAATGCCAAAGAATTCAGTGACAGGAGCACTTTATAGCGTCATACTGTAGCATACCAAAGAAATCGTGAGGATAAGCGGCTCAGAAAATGAATGGATGGATGGATAGATGTTTGAAGTGCTAAGATCTTCAAGCGATGCCGTGACACCAATACTAAATTATTGCTTTTCTGTGGCACACACTTTGACATTTGAATCCATTGAAATGAAGCACACCACTCAAACTAAATTATTTTTCGATGCATATTAGTGTGAAACCTGACCATGATGATCACATGAGACATGTTTGGACTCACAATAACTAGTGCAATGCGGGCAATGCTCAAGCATTTAAAGTGTGACAATTTAATTAGCCCTCAGAGAGACAACTGTGTTGTTCTCAAACAGAAGATGAAAAATGTGTGCCAAATACACAATTGCGTCCGAACAAAAAATTTATGTTGACCTTTTCACCCGTTTCCCCTGCAGTGAATGCCTGCATGAATGAGAATCGCAAGCACATCGGAGAAAATAATCTTCGGCTGACAGTCAAGCCTGGCTAAGTAGCTGTGACAAGAGATCTTTGCTTGAGTGGTAGTGACTTCAGTCGACCCAAGTCACTGTTTAGATGACAGAAGTCTCAGCTGCACTTTATACATGAAAGTTAGTTTTGGTATTAGACATGTATTTCTAAAGAAAAGGAAAGAAGTTGAACAGTGTCACCTTTACGTGGAATGTGCTTTTCTATGCATATGCTTGTTGAAATGACATTGCCATAATTTGCGGATATCAAACAGTAAATATGTGGAATTTGTCACATATTACATTTGTCATCCTCACGAGGGTCGCGGGCATGCTGGAGCCTATCCCAGCCGTCTTCGGGCAGTAGGTGAGTGATACTCTGAACTGGTTGCCAGCCAATCGCAAGACACACATAGATGAATCACCGTTCGCGCTCACACTCACACGGAGTGACAATTTAGAGTGTTCCATTAAGCTGCCATGCATGTTTTTGGAAGGTGAGAGGAAACCGGAGTACCCAGAGAAAACCCACACAGGCACAGAAAGAACATGCAAACTCCACACAACAAGGCCGAAGCTAGAATCGAACCCTGCACCTCTACACTTTGAGGCGGACATGCTAACCAATCGACCACTATCCTGGCCCAATTGCATTTTACAACTAAAATAGTTAAACTACAAAAATGATTGAGTTGATGTACGTTCGTTCAAAACATAGAAAAATGTCTGTGACAATTATATGACAAAGCGGCATTACCATACATAATTTACATTTTTAGTTTATAATATTGTGGACACCCATCACGTGTGAAGACAAACAAATGCTTAAAATTTATAATTACGAAAGTGGCTTGAAGGCAGATGTCCTAAGTAAAAAAACGCCCCCCACCCTATTGTTTCTTGCTTTAACTTTTAGAGTTGTTGGTAAGCCTTACTCTCAGTGGAACGACACCAACTAGCAGGTTGGTGGTTTGAAGTAATTGCTCACAGCCTTATGTTAAAACTGGATTATCATTTTGTTTTATGACAAGTGTTTGAGCAAAGTCAAAACTGGTATTGCATGGTTGGAAGATAAACATTGGAAGTCCCACTTTTGTAAGTGTTTCTAAAACCAACATTTGATTTTCCAACATGAAATATATGATTGTAGTTTGCAGCATCTCAATTTATGAGTGTAAAGCAACAGCTGCAACACCTTGTTCACCATAGGCCTGTGCTGTTTCGTCACCTGGTGAACAGATACAATTAGAAAAAAAAAATTGTAAAACAAGAGTTCCATGCATAAAGACAAAATACAATTAAAGTACAAATACATGCATGATTCCCTTTTGAGAAATGCATGAAAGCACCACTACCTAAACAAAAATGCATTTCTGCTACAGCTGCAAGTCTGGTACTGTTCTACTTTGTCATTCTTTCCTTTCGTTGAAATGGAAATATCTCCTTTTCCATGAGTGGGATGTCTGCCAGAATAAGTGAAACAAAATGGCCATGTGCCAAACAGTCACAGGAGTGCAGAAAATGGGCACCAAATAAGCCCTTTCATACTGGTAACCATCAACAATTAAGACCTCTTAGATAGCAGATCATTTTGTATGTCAAGAACCTCAAATATCTAAGTAACATGATGGTTGACGCTTAGCCGAGGAACAAATTACACTCTTGGAAGGATTTGTAGATTCATGCACAAGAATGATGTTTTCAGCTAATTATAATGAATTGCCAATCGCTGCAGGGCTGGGTCGCCATTCCCTATCCTCTTCTTGATTATGACCCAAAACGTGCATAAGGAAGGGGAAAAACATTGCTATGTTGCTGGGACAGTCACAATAACGGACTGTATCTTTTTGCTGCTCGGAAATCCAGATAAAATGCACCAGTAGTCAAGCAACAACCCCATGAAGTGAGCCAGTACTGTGGTCAAGGCCAACCATAACAGCGCAACACCCTGCCACCTGCATTTTATTGCTGCAATTTCTTCCAGCCACTTTCAACAAGCCCCACATTGGAGAACAGGAAGCTCCCTGTGAGGGTTATCTCGGATACTGTGATTTAAAATTGGACACCCGCTACATTTGAGATGTATAAAACTATGGGGTATCCTCCACATAACTCACACTACCACAAACATCAGATGCATATTATCAACCCAATGTTCTTGCTTCACACATAATTGTGTTTATTGGATCAAGTCATATCAGTTGTACACAACACACTGGTGCCGTGACAGCATTTTGGCAGCTCTCATTTTTTTTTTAATCCTCAGCCTTTGCTAACACAGGACAAAATGTTGTGCTATGATTCATATGTTTGTTTGTTTTTTTAGTTCTCATGAACACGATTCAACTTTCAGTGGATTTATTAACCTGATCACTGACTAAAACATTTATATTTAGTCGTATTGGGAACATGCCTCAGCATTTTTATAATTTAATATTAATAATACCAAAGGAATTTTAAAAAATCAACTCAGCATATTCATAATTCACTATTAATAATACTAAAACAATAAGAACAAAAAAACATCATACAAATGAAATCGCTGCATCATTTTCAATCAACATTTTCTAATTGGATGATGCTACGCCAGAGATGTTAATGTGATTATCAGAATATATCAAAGTCCAGTGCTGTGCATCACCATAGCCTCATAAAAACCTAATGTCATTATTATGTTTTGTCACCCGCTACATTTGAGATGTATAAAACTATGGGGTATCCTCCACATAACTCACACTACCACAAACATCAGATGCATATTATCAACCCAATGTTCTTGCTTCACACATAATTGTGTTTATTGGATCAAGTCATATCAGTTGTACACAACACACTGGTGCCGTGACAGCATTTTGGCAGCTCTCATTTTTTTTTTAATCCTCAGCCTTTGCTAACACAGGACAAAATGTTGTGCTATGATTCATATGTTTGTTTGTTTTTTTAGTTCTCATGAACACGATTCAACTTTCAGTGGATTTATTAACCTGATCACTGACTAAAACATTTATATTTAGTCGTATTGGGAACATGCCTCAGCATTTTTATAATTTAATATTAATAATACCAAAGGAATTTTAAAAAATCAACTCAGCATATTCATAATTCACTATTAATAATACTAAAACAATAAGAACAAAAAAAACATCATACAAATGAAATCGCTGCATCATTTTCAATCAACATTTTCTAATTGGATGATGCTACGCCAGAGATGTTAATGTGATTATCAGAATATATCAAAGTCCAGTGCTGTGCATCACCATAGCCTCATAAAAACCTAATGTCATTATTATGTTTTGTCATTCACACTCTTCTTCACCCAAAAAAAGTTGCGTATCTGTTTCCCCTCATCACATGGAAACCGTCACTAATCCAGTTTGTCCACAAGGGGAACTCCAATGAACAATCACTCTCGTTTCCTTGAATAGTTTTCCCTTTAAGTGTCAGAAAACAGGAAAATCCTCAAATGAACTTGAATAAAGAATTACGAACTGTGTGATGCTTTACTCTGTAAGACCTAAACTGTCTGGAAAATTGTTTGGACTGGCCTTCACCCAAACATGCCAGTATTGCATGGAAGCAGGAAAATTGGGGGAGTTTTGCAGAGCATTCCTCCTGTGGCAAAAATCCCACCCCTTTCACAGTCCAAAGTAGAACAGCACGCAGTCTCTCTCACTTTCTTCCACACAGGCACACGCAAACGCACACACACACACACACACACACACACACACACACACACACACACACACGCACGCACGCACATGCTCACATTCAGACACACACTACTGCCTTATAAGGATGAGGTGACACTGCGCACCAGAGGTCTGATGGTTCCGCACTGTAGTAATTCAACTTTCATAGTCCTTAAGCATGCTTGAGAGGTGACAGAGGATCATTTGTGGAAAAACATGCCATGGCGACTTGTCATGCTTCCTGATTGGATTTTGGTATCACAGTAATTATGCCTGTGTGTTGCTTGTAGAACAACGGTGGTAAGTTCTGATTACGTTATTTGTCTGATTACATTTACATTTAATGATGCCTTGAAATATGAAATTCATTTGAAATAGAATATTTGTTTCAGGACTATAATTTGGGGTCTTTTTGCATTGCAAAGGTTTACAGGCAATATTTGGTAGTGCAATGTTTGTTGGTTGTGCAGAGGGAGAACTTGCAACAGTGCATTCTGTTTTGCATGCATTTTGTTGGAGTAGCATGAATGAACTGTTGCAGACCAGAAAGTAGACGAGAGAAACAAGCCCACAGGGTGAAAGGATAGCAAACACCAGTTTGTGTGTTCGTCTCTACCCTAATTTGGGAGGAAGGAAGTACTTTGGGAGAGCAGGATCTAATATTTAACTCTGGTTTTGGCTCTTGGGTTAATTGTGTTGATGAGTAATTACTTGCTTTCTATGGATTGTCAGTGAGCTGTATCAAATCGTCAGCTATCTGAGCAGTATAAAAATATCATAATAATAATAATAATAATAGCATTAATAATAAGATGGGAAATTACCACTGTTCCTGAAATGAATGTTCTCTGCTCAAACAATATATTATTGAATACAAATGATTCATATTTGTGTAATACAGTCTTTAGTGCAGAAACATGGCAAGTAACTATTAGATTGCTTACATGCTTAACTACTACACAACCTTGATTTTTCCTATTCTCACTTTTAGATTAAAGAGGCTGCTTGACAATGAAAAAGTCTACCAGGTGAAAAAGGAGAAGGAGCATTCTAAACGCCTGGCCAAGGTGCAAGAGGAACTGGTGAAATTGAAATCCTTTGCCCTGATGTTGGTCAATGAGCGCCAACAACACCTGGAGCAAATGGACCAACAGACTCAGCGGATCCAGGAACTGAGCCAGCAACTTCAGCAGCAGAGGAAGATACTAAGTGAAGCCAGGGAGCATGCTCAGGAAGATGCCCGCAGGGTTCTGAGCTTAGAGGCCGAGCTGAAAGAAAAAACTGTCACATTCGCTCAGCAGCATGAAGAGCTGAACACTAAGCTTGCCAGTCAGGAGCTCCTCAACCGTCAACTCAATTCAAAAATTCTAGGGCTTTTGCATACAGTGGATGAGATAGAGGAGAGTAACAAGGCCTTGAGGAAATCAGAAGAGGAACTGCAGGAAATAGGGGGCAAAACTGGCAAAGACGAGTGCATAAACTCTAACTTAATTACAGAGTTAGAAAATCTAAAGAAGCGTGTGCTGGAGATGGAAGGAAACGATGAGGAGATCACACGAACTGAAAATCAGTGCAAGGAGCTCAGGAAAAAGCTACAGGAGGAGAATAACAAAAGCAGAGAACTTCGGGTCGAGGTGGAGAAACTCCAGAAGAGAATGATAGAGTTGGAGAAACTTGAAGGTTCCTTTAACATCAGTAAGAAGGAGTCTGCTCAGTTGTACGCTGCCTTAGAAAAAGAGAAGGGCCTGACCAAAGAGCTCTCCGGGGAAGTTGTGATGCTCAAGATCCGAATGAAAGAGCTTGAATCATCTGAACTCAAGTTAGAAAAGTCTGAGCTTAACCTCAAGGATGAATTAGGCAAACTAAAGTCATTGACTGTAGCTTTAATGGAGGAACGAAAGACTTTGGTGGAAAGAGTGATGGCAGATGAAAAGAAAAAAGAGGATTTGAGTAAGATGGTCAAAGATGAGCAGAGTAAGGTTATGGAGGTGACTGAAAAATTGATAGAAGAAAGCAAAAAACTCTTAAAGTTTAAATCGGAAATGGAAACACAAGTCGATAGTCTGATGACAGAAAAGAGGGACCTTAACGCCAAGCTCACGTATGAAACTGACAAAACAAAGGATCTTCTTTCAAAGGTCAGCCAAATGAAAAAGAGGTTGGATGGTTTGGAGCAAGCAGAAAGGCTGCCTGCAAACAAATCGGTGAAATGTGAGCAAGGGAGAGCACCCGAGGCTGGAAAAAGAGACGATAACAAAATTAAAGAGCTAACCTTTGAGATTGAGCACCTAAGAAATCGTCTCAAACAACTTGAAGTGGTTGAAGGAGATCTGATCAAAACCGAAGATCAATATGACATTTTGGAGAAAAGGTTCATCACAGAACAAGACAAAGCCAATATACTTTCCCAGCAAGTTGAGGCCATGAGGAGTCAGATCGCAAGGAACAAAGCGATTGAGAAAGGAGAAGAGGACAGCCAGGAGGAAAACCTGCGGCAACAATACAACAGAGAGGAGGCCAAGACCAGGGAGATGCAGGCAGATGTCGTAGCTCTAAAGGAAAAGATACATGAATTGATGCACAAGGAGGACCAGCTTTCGCAACTGCAAGTCGATTACTCCGTCCTACAGCAGAGGTTTTTTGAAGAGGAAGAGAAAGCCAAGAGCATGGGCACTGAGGTTCTCCATTTGACCAAAGAACTGGAGATTGCAAAGCGTCACAGTCGTGCACTGAGGCCCAGTTTGAATGGAAGGAGGATGGTTGACGTTGCTGTCACATCAACCGGGGTACAGACAGAAGCATTGTCCAATGGGCCAACAGAGGAAGATACCCCGGCCGGTTTTATCAGGAAGTCTGTTCAAGAAGAGAATCACATCATGAACAATTTACGGCAGAAGAGCCTGAAGAAGCCAACGGAAAAGACCGGTGGCATTGAACGCTCCTCTTCATCTGGTAGTGATCTCAGTATGAAGAAATCCTGGATTCCTTGGATGAGGAAGAAAGACACCAACTCTCATGAAACCAGCCTGGAAAAAACACCTACTTGCGGGAATCCAAACGTGACCATGGCCCACAAGCAAGGGCAGCCGCTACACATACGTGTGACACCGGACCACCAAAACAATATGGCCACCCTTGAAATCAGTAGCACCGCTGCTGAGAATGTCTTCTCAACATCAGGTCCACAAAATGCAAACCCATCACAACCGAAATCCAGAATTACAATCATTCCAACACACTCTGCAACAGTTCAGGGAAAGTCCACCAACGGACATCATGGTCCAGAAAGAACCAAATCTCCAGTCACCATCACAACTATTTCAAGAGCCAAGTCTCCAGATAGCAGCCAAGCTTCCTCCTCTACCTCGGGAAGGCCAACGTCACCTGTCACCATCATGACAGTTAGCACCACGGCAGTGCCTGAAGCCTCTGCCTCCCCTGAACCCCAAGAGATGACCATGGGCCGGGCTGTGTTCAAGGTTACCCCTGAAAAGCAGATGGTCCCAGTGCCAATAAGGAAGGGTCACAATAACACAAGCATCATCACCACCACTGATGATAACAAGATCCATATTCATCTAGGTAATAGTCTGACCCCAAAGATGGTAGTCAGGCCAGTGTCTGCTGTAACTGAGGGGAAAGAGCTCACCTTGTCGACTGGGACAGTGTTGCGCTCTCCTCGCCAAATTACCACGACCCGGACCACACAGAACAAAGTGATGAGCACCATTATGATTTCCCCTGTTGCATCAAACACTACCAGATCCACGCAAAGCATGGTACGTTTTTCTCAGGCTCATTACACCACAACAGTAAATTGATATTCAGTGGGATGTACAGGTCTTTAGGCCAGCAGTAGTATTCCTCATTCACAGCAGTCATTTTGTAAATGAAAAACTGGCACCCTTTTGTATGGGTTCCTCCTATTTTGATAAGGATCTAGAAGAAGGTATACACACTGTACAGCTATGTGTACTGTATGCATTTGGATCAATTCGATAGCCCATAGCCCAGAATCTAAATCCAACTGTTCATCGCCTTCCACGGACCAGGAAGTAGCCTGCTAAATAACAAAGATAAAAATAAAACAAACCCTTAAACACAAATACATTATGACCAGCTTAACAATATTACATCTTTTACATATATACGGTAAGAGCCATATCAAATATTCTCTCTTTGCAAGGGTAATGAATCCTTAATTGACACAGTCACAGAAGTGCTCATTGAGTAATATGGCCAAGTGGTAATATTTTGATTGCCTAAAACCTCATTTAAATGAGAGAGCAATGGTTTCAATAGAGATCATTATCTTCTGCAAGTGGTCACCATGTTGTGGCTTGCTGAACTGCTTATAACACCAAAGCTAATGTGCTTGCCAAAGACTTTTGCACAGTACTGGCCTTCTATTACTATTAGTCTTCCAAATATATGGACATTGTGTACAGTACTGTATTGTGCCTAAAACCATTTCAAAAAAAAAAAGAAGATGAATTCTGGGAAAACTAGTTCAACAATCTAAGTCAAAAAAATTTACTTAAAAAAACAGATAAGTAAAGAGCATTTAGATGTTGATTATTTGTGCGTATTTCTGTGTGGACCGAAAGCCTTGAGAGCGAAATAGTGTTGCTGTTCCTGGGAAAACTAGTTCAACAATCTGAGTCAAAAAAATTTACTTAAAAAAACAGATAAGTAAAGAGCATTTAGATGTTGATTATTTGTGCGTATTTCTGTGCGGACCGAAAGCCTTGAGAGCGAAATAGTGTTGCTGTTTCAGTGGACCTTATGATATCCTCTTTGTGACTCAGATTGCTAGCGTGACAAAAAAAGGTCCTAAGGGCTGGCCTCAGCACAGCAGAGCTAATGATGTGGCAGCTTGCCACCCCGCTACAGGCATGCTGCAATTTATATTTGTTTCACAGTGTTTACATTCACAAACAGATTCACATGGCTCAGTGCCCCCTGGTTGACAAAAAACAGCCATTTTTTTTTTTTTGTCAACAGCCGGCTAACTGGATTGCAAATGAAAGAACGAATAAATATTTGCATGTTCATTCTGTTTCTGTCCAGTGATTTAAAGTGTTTAGAAATTTTGAATTCCCCTTTTTGCTTTTTTAAAGCAAATTACTCTTCATTTTCCAATCAAATACCAACTGCTTTCATTCTCGTGCCTGAGAAACTGTACTCTCTCTCTCTCGCTCTCTCTCTCTGTTTTTCTGTCTTTCTGTCCCTCTATTGTCAAACAGTGTGGGCACGATTCCCAGGGCCCTCGTACAGGGCTGACCCGCATCCCAATGTCCAAGAGCCTGAAAACAGGGAAGACGGCGCTTGGTTCCTTGGGCATAACGAGTGGAGTGAAAGCAGAGTCGCGTGCTGAGAGTCAATCTATGAGGATAGAATTTAAGAAATCAGCCGTAAATGACATTACTTATCAAAATGGAGGAAAAGGCTGATTAACAAACCAAAACACTCTATGGTGCTAGATAGACAATCACACCTTCATAAAACAACAGCCAAGTGAGTGATGGAAATTATATTTGATCTAAAGCATTGTATTTATGGAAAGCCTTGTGTACTTCCCTCTCACATATCACATATACTTCTATTATTTACATTACTAAAATGTATACAGAGGAAAAGGTCAAACCACTCTGCGACTAATTGCTCATTGTGTCACATATAATGAGAAAAACTTCAGTTGCATGCAGTTTATTTGAATGGTTTTTGTGTTTTAATTGCCTGTAAATCATTTTTTATTAAACATATTTTGAACAAAACTAATTTTGAAGTCTTCATAGTCATTGGAAGAAAGTAGTACAAATCTAATGTTTGTCTTTGATGCATGGTTTGAATGGTTTCGTCTTTGCAAGCTGAATCAAGTTGTTTTCTGTAACATGTATTTGTAAAAGCTTAATATGAGTGTTTCATGAGACAAAGAGAAACCAAATTGCTAAATGAAACCTTAAACATGGCAAATTGGTAGCACTCCAACAAATGTGCATTTGTTACCATACTTTAGAATTATAGGTCATAATATCTAAGCGCTGCATTTAATTGCACTTAAAGGAGATATATTTTACCATATTTTTCATATGTTTCAAAGGTTCCCAGGTGTCTTTAAAAAGCCTATGACACTAGTCCATGAAAATACACAAAGAATAAAGAATTATGAGACATTTAAAATTCACTTGACACAATCATTCTGTATTGTGGGGAGTTCTATCTCAGGCAAATGCAGAGTATAAAGATTGCACCTGGGACTTGTTATGATGAGGATCTGGGATGGAGCTAGGACATCCAAATGAATGGTGCTTGGGTAAAGCTACCACTGATGAATTGTACGAATCCTCCTCATCAAGCAAGCGCCCATACATTGCATTGTCACTCATGGAGGCAGCAATGCATCACCGAGAAACCAAATTATACTCATCATTCAAGTGTGAACTGGTTCCAGAGTTAGTTAACTCTAATCTGTGCTAATTCTGCAGCTGTGCTTACCTTTTGGCTTTGATATGACGGAGCTTTCATGTACCCTGGTAGAAGTATGACTTCTGGCACTTGACAGTGGCGGATGTGAGAACCCTCAAGAATAACAAATACTTACGAATTTACAATTTAAACTTTAAATTGTAAGTAGCAAGTAGCATTAGGTTTAAATTTTAAAGCTAATAATTTTTAAGTTATGATCCTACATACAGCATTAATATCATTGCTAATTGCAGATGCGCATGATCAATAAAGACAATCGCTTTCGTCCGATGGATGCGGGCTTGTTATTAGTGGCAAAACTGCTTTTTACGTGGGCAGGCTATGCAAACTCTGCTCACATTTTCATGCTTTCCACTTCATCACTTGGGTGCTACTTGTTCAAATGATTCAATAGGTGTGTTTGATGACCTTGCTTTTGATTTTAAACCTGACACAACAGCGTCCCCCATGTCACTGTAGATATACTGCCACAGAGGGGCGCACCTGCCAACTTTGTGAGGGGTATGCAGACAGAAGAGAGGCACACCCCAACATTTTTTTCTTCACCTTTATGTTTAGAAGTATAAATCTTAGAGGACAGTGTACCAGAGAACATGGTTCTTGACTTCATTCACCAGCATCTGCAGCTCACGTTTTGTGATGTTCCATCATTTTCAGTGGTGAGTCTGAATTAATAATCTGATTATTTTATCAGGCAGTGTGATTATTCTCATCATATTTATATAAAGACGTGGAGAGGGAGAAGTTTAGCACGCCAACATTTCTGCATTGATTGAGATGTACGAAAGGAATGTGCTTGACTTCATGTGTACGCATATTCATGCACCTGGATCTTTGTGTACGTGCAAAGTTTTCTGGATTTAGCCACGTTGTGGCAAGTGGCAACATATCGTTTTGTTTTTTTAGGAGGTATGTTTATGAAGATCCTTTTTTCATAATTAATTTAATATTGAGGGCTAAATTTGTTTATTCATCAATGTAAGTATGGCAATCAGAAAGCTACCTTTACAACCTTTTACATTAATACCATATTCTTGATTAAAAATTTAAATGACTATAATAACAAAAAGCCTCTGAAAACTTTAAATACTTTCAATTTATTTCAATTTAAGTGATACCCTTGGATTTTATGGGCTTTTTCTCTGTTATTTCATGTTTTTAATATATCGATTTAAGGAACATTGATTACTATTTTGTATTTTAATTTTGCTATAATGAAGAATTTTTTTCATTTTACATTTACATTTGGGGCGGCCCGGTAGTCCAGTGGTTAGCACGTCGACTTCACAGTGCAGAGGTACCGGGTTCAATTCCAGCTCGGGCCTCCCTGTGTGGAGTTTGCATGTTCTCCCCGGGCCTGCGTGGGTTTTCTCCGGGTGCTCCGGTTTCCTCCCACATTCCAAAGACATGCATGGCAGGCTGATTGAACACTCTAAATTGTCCCTAGGTGTGAATGTGAGCGTGGATGGTTGTTCGTCTCTGTGTGCCCTGCGATTGGCTGGCAACCGATTCAGGGTGTCCCCCGCCTACTGCCCGAAGACAGCTGGGATAGGCTCCAGCACCCCCGCGACCCGAGTGAGGATCAAGCGGTTCGGAAAATGAATGAATTTACATTTACATTTGCGCAAAAAAATGTACAGTACAGTAATCAGAAAACGAGTCTTTAACGTATTGACAAAACAAATAATTTTTTAACTTCCTGTTTTGTTTTGAAAAAACAATGAACGAATGACACACTAATTCCATCGTGGCTTATGGTGCTTGACAGCATTAGTGGGCGTCACTTCACTGTGGTGACGTCAACCTTTCGTTTCTCCCTTGCTACTGTACTTCCTACTTCTTGGTGTAGGATGGAACTATTAAAACAGATGGAGTCAAAGCTATCCCGAGCAACTATTTAGATTCCGTAGCCCGACTTTCCCTCCAGTCTCGGTATTTTACAAATTATCTTCAAGTTACGTGTCTTGTCTTGTCTCGAACTGAGCGGCTGTCCACAACGGTATTACCGACTCGGATCGGATTGCAACCATGATGGCGTCGAGCTACAACGCTAAGGAAGAAGACGGCCACCACTCAGGCCCCTCTAGTCATGGCGGCGCAGGGGCAGTGAAAAGCAAGAAACCGGACAACACGGCATTTAAACAACAGAGACTACCTGCTTGGCAGCCCATCTTGACAGCTGGAACCGTGCTCCCTGCGTTCTTCGTCATCGGTCTCATTTTCATCCCCATCGGTATCGGCCTGTATGTAACGTCAAACAACATCAAGGAGTTCGAGGTAGCGTTTATGTGTTCTTCTAACCTTCCACTGTTTATTTACATTGTACCCTCCAGGTACCATCAGCCTCGTTTAGCCTAACCACTGAAACTGCAATCGGCCACGTTGGGCCAACAGAAAGGCTCTTGACATGCTAGTGTTGATAGCTCATCTGGTTGAGTGCACTCGTACAGTGTAACATGAGCATACGCTCTGTATAAATCAAGAAAAACTTGACATTTAATTTGTTAATTTTTTCACTCTATTTGCATGTAAAGTAGATTGTTTTTAAATATATCTCGAATACAAATAAATTGAAAATGTTGATGTGAAAAATAAACAACAGCAAATATAACGTTTGTTGTAGGCTGAAGCAGACTTGTGGATTCCTCTGTGCAAGCAAGCACAAGCTGTTGCATTTATTTTCAGTCATAAATGGTTAGCAGTAGTTGATGTCCATTGCGATTTATCAACTTAGATGGTCTGACTGTATATCCCGTACCCCATCCCTGAAAAGGGGTGCAATCAAATCATTAAGACCAACTGAGAGAGTTGGTAGCACTGGTGCTACCAGGGGAAAAGTTGGTGTAGAGCCCTGAGGCTGCTTGGAAATTATCCAAGAGTCAACAAGACTGCCGATCATGTAAAATGTTCCCGCAAGAAATGCATTTTTTTTTTTACATCTCGACGCGTGTTTTGTATGCGATTACCTATGCTCAGAGCAGGCTTTCATTAAACAGTATGGCTGTTCCTTTAAATTATGCAGCAAGATCACACTGCCTACATCAATCAAAAATTAATTTGAATAATTTCCCCAAGACGGTAAACAGAACTTTTAAGTGTGGAGCTTGTTGGTACTGCAGTTTTTAAAAAATCAGCCTCAGAGGGCAGTTCAGTTCAGTACTACGGTACCCACCCCTAGCTAAAAACAATAATTCACAGAAAAAGGAATGCTTTGTACAAATCACTATTATCCTGTTAAACATTATATACTAAATATTTATTGTAAAACTAGTGTAGAGCAAAAAGGTTGAAACGTGTAGTTTGGCTGCAAAAAAGCAGTTCTGTGAAGTGAGATACACATTTTCTATGTTTTTATTGGGATTGCTTGTGTAAATTCTGAGTCACACACTTTCAAAAACGTCTTGAATTTGAGATCGTTTTGCTCACAATCCGCAATCTCTAACGTTATGCATTTCCCGTGCTTTAAATGTGCATCGTGTTTTTTGTTTTTTTAATGACTCACATTTTATTTTCAGATTGATTACACCGGTGTGGATGTTTCGAGCCCATGCTTTAGCTGTGCCAAAAACTACAGCTGGGACAGCACAACTTCATGCACGTGCTCTGTGAATTTCACTTTGGAGCAGCCTTTCGAGGTTTGTTCTCTCTTCTGCTCCTGCACTCAACACATGCTTACTGAATAATACATGTCAGGTTCCAATAATGATGGCGTTGCTTGGAGTGCATCGAAAGTGGAAGCAAAGCCCCGTGTCCAGTATTGATAGTGATGCTTGGTGAGTGACATAAGTGAGGGGGAAAAAAAAACATATGGACAGAGAATCATTCACGTCCAATTTTAGTTCAAGTAAAGTGAGACTGAAGGTTTAGGATTGATTACTCTAATTTTAAAATCTTCTGAAAACTTTCTGATGGTTTTGCTTCATTTAACAATGTTCATCTTAAACATTTAGCTTTGTCATGTATTGTACTTGTCACAATGTTAGATTTGATTTGTCAACTAAATTGCTAAATGAACTCAATCACTGCCAATGACGTGTGTGTGTGTGTGTGTGTGTGTGTGTGTGTGTGTGTGTGTGTGTGTGTGTGTGTGTGGGGGGGTGTGGAACATGTTTGGGGGGGGGGGGTCACCGTGTGTCTTGTGTATTTGGATGTTTCGGCTGCCATTGTATGCTGGAGCGTGCATGAGGAAGTTTCCGTGCGAGTGTGTGAACCATGACGACTGTCTGATGCAAGGCGCCCAAATAAAATAAAAGGCTTGACTTTTATTTAAGTGTCTGACGTTCGAACCCACACACACACACACACACACACACACACACACACACACACACACACACACACACACACACACACAGAATGTACAACTTGTGCGGTGACAAACCAAAATTTATCCTCTGGTAAACTGATTAGAAAATGGCAGTGCCATACAAAGTTTTCAGCACTCAGACGCTAAGAGAATAAATTTTGTTTTATGTTTCATGAATGAAACCAAAGATGGATGAAAAGATATGACTCCTTATTTATGTCTGCTAGTGCTTATCCATTTTTGAAATAGAAAGATGTTGCGTCATAAACAGGTGTCTTACTTTTCCCATGTGAGCATGTGGGATGATAATAGCTGGAGATTTGTAAGATTAAATTTTTAAACGTGTATGGTTTGTTTATTGGTCTATGTGATAAGTTGAGCGATTAAGAAGTGCAGTCCACGTTTACGCACGATGTTTCATGAAACATGAAGTTTGATAAAGCCATTATTTGTTTACATAATGTTTGTAATCTGCATGTGTCATATTTATTTATTTTTTTTAAGACTTATTTACAGTATAGTACAATACTTTTTTTAACCAACTTGGACCTGATTGGTTATGCTTGTATCATGCTGCTTCTGATTGGAGAGCTTGGGAGAATAAAGTGCCTACATTTTTTTTTGTTCAATGCAGCTTTGACGATCACGATTGGGATCCGAAAATGCTAAATCGTTCAGTCCTACTGTATACTATTTTGAAATGAAAAACTGAGGCAAGTAGGGCTGAGCCAATTCTAGCTGATAGGTTGCAGGTAAAAAGTGACCAAAAATTCGGTTTTAACCTTTACCATCAGTAACAGAGTGTTTTCTCTCTCCAGAGCAACGTCTTCATGTACTATGGCTTATCCAACTTCTATCAGAACCACAGGCGCTATGTGAAATCCAGGGATGACAGCCAGCTGAATGGGGATCGCTCTGCTTTGACGGTATAGTTTTAAAAATGTTGTTGTGTCATCCATTCAACAGAGATTTTTATTAAATAATGCAATTGAACAGCATTTGCCCCTTACAGAATCCTAGCAAAGAATGTGAGCCTTATCGTACCAGCGAAGGCCAGCCTATTGCTCCTTGCGGGGCCATAGCTAATAGCCTTTTTAATGGTAAGAACAAAGAAGCAGTATGTGTCCTTGTGAATACTCGCAGCACCGATGGTACAAACTATATTTTTCTTTCACAGACACCCTGGTTCTCTATCATGTTGACTCCAATGGCACCAAAATCAGCATCCCTCTGGCAAAGAAAGGCATTGCTTGGTGGACAGACAAGCATGTGAAATTTAGGAATCCTGGTGGAAACGACAACCTAACCATTGCATTTCAGGGTAATTCTAGTTCTTCGTGGTATTTTTTTTTAAATCCATGCAAAATGACAATAAAGACAAAGAGTGTTGTTGGGGTCCACTTCAGGTGCTTTTAGCTGCATTGCTTGAAATTCAGTGGGCTCAATTCTGTCACTCGCTCAAGATTTTATATAGGGGGGAAGGCATGATTCATGTCCAATCCGAGTCGGATCACTCTGCACTGTTTTAGCCACGGCCACAAAAAAAAAAAAAAAAAAAAAAAAAAAAAAATCCGGGAGACAAAAATGGACAATTGAGCACGGCATGGTTCCGCCTTTGCACATTTTCAGCACTTCTAAAATGAATTAGGAATTTAGAAAAAAAGTCTTTAAAGTGATTTTGCATGGTCTTAGAAGATTTGATTATTTTGGTCACATTCTTTCTCAGGGACTAACAAGCCAGTGAACTGGAGAAAGCCGGTGTTTGAGCTGGACCCAGACGACCGTGATAACAATGGCTTCATCAATGAGGACTTCATTGTGTGGATGCGCACAGCCGCCTTACCCACTTTCCGCAAGCTCTATAGGATCATCCATAAGAAGTCGAGCTCAACACCGACCCTAGCTAGCGGCAGATACATCTTGGACATCACTTACAGTATCCTTTTGTACTCTAGTCAGCACGATTTCAAACAAAGGCCAGCTTGGGTTTGAAATTTTGCACGTTAATTCTGTTCTACCTGTTCCCGTCTTGTTTCCTTAACGTTCCGTCATCAGATTACCCGGTCCTGAGTTTTGACGGTCGCAAGCGTATGATCTTGAGCACCATCTCCTGGATGGGAGGGAAGAACCCTTTCCTGGGTATCGCCTACATCACCGTGGGCTCCATTTGCTTTTTCCTGGGTGTGGTTCTGCTCATCATCCACCACAAATATGACTCGCGCAATAGCAGCGCAGATATTCCGAACTAGATCCCACCTGCGTAGCATCCATTCTGGACTGCTTGGCGGTTTCTGCGCAAATACACTGGTCATCTGTAAATGTTTGTTTGTGCAAGAGCAGTCCTATGTTGTCTGACCGAAAGTTGTTTTTGAAGGCAGAGTACAACGCCTGAGTCTTGACTGCTTCAAGTTGGATGCTGCGAATGTCATTTTCTGTTTTTATTATACCTGTTTTAAATGTTCTATTTATGTCTGTCAAAGTATGTGTTGTATCTTAGCACAGCTTTGCGAATGGCTTAATGATTGAAGGGCATGTTTGTTGTATGTCAGCTTTTGTTCATGTCATGTATGACAAAAATGTCCTGCTGATGAATGTAGTATTACATTACATTGACGTACTTCTGGGTTTGAGAAGAAGTTGAAAATGAGGAAAACCTTTTATTGTGCATTGTCAAATTTGGTAAGCATTAATGTTGGTAACCCCACATATCGACCAATTACAAAAAGTCTCAGCTCCCTTTCCTCCTTTTTTTAAAATGTACAAAAACTGACTATCCGATTATTTATGCATGCAACAAACTTAACACTCCGTTGTTACAATGACTGAGCTTCCTGTCTGGTTGGTAAGTGGTAAGGGTTTTTCTGTTAATTTACATTGCACAATTATGTCAGTGTTGACCAAATTATTTGCACTTAAAAGAACCTTTATTTAGTCCAAAATCAGCTGGGGTAGGCTCCACCTCACCTTGAACAGGATTAAGTAGAAAATGAAGAGAGGTGCCACTCTATTTCCCCTTCTGTTTTCCACCTGGTAGAGGACACCTTGTTAGAATGTCTCTTGTTTAATACTGTATTAAAATGTAATGGGCTTTTACAAGGTCAACATGTTCCAATTAAAGAATTTATCAATGTCTCTGCGAGTTTGTATTTAATTTCCTCGTCTACTATTTCCTCTTTTCATTAAAACAAAAAAAGTTGACTCATAAATCAACTGATGATATTCTTATGGGACAGTGCTATTTAGCAGCAAAAGCTAAACTGACAGACAATTTAAATTGTTTTCGAACGTGAATTTAAAAAAAAAAAGGGAAAAGCCCATAGTCCTGACTCCAATTAACGACAGTGGAACAACTAATAAAGTTCAGTACACTGTATTCCGTTTATAGGCTGAAAGTAAACTACGTGTCTACCATACATATGAAAGCAGGACGCACTGAACGTTCACACCGTATTGTTGATATTTTGATTATGTTTGTTCAATATAGTTTCGCTTCTTGAGATACTTGTTTTCATATTGTGGGTTTGCTGTGCGACATCGTTTTTCATGCGGTCGCGTTTATGTGCAATAGCAGTGATTGGCCAGCAGATGTCACTATGTCCGTGCTGTGCCAATCTAAACGGTTACTGAGGCGTTGCAGCAAATCTCATCACTCCACGAATTTGCCTCAACATTTAGTAGGCTACTTAAAAACAGCAATTATCTATGGGGATATTAGTAATATTACCCATGGACTTGCTCTAAGATGGCACTCTAATGACAGCTGTTTATAATACAGTTGTAATAATCCATCTATCCATGCATTTTCTGATCTGCTTATCCTCACAAGGGTCGCGGGTGGTGCCGGAGTCTATCCCAGATGTCTTCGGGCAGTAGGCGGGGTACACCCTGAATTGGTTACCAGCCAATCGCAGCAGTTCTAATAAAATAGTATCATATAAGAGTAATTAACATGTCCCCGAGAACACACTGTCAAATACAAGATATAACCGCACAATGGAATCGTGCTTAGCACTCTGCTTCATAGTTTTAAGGTTTGGGTTTCAAACGGTAACTTAAGTTTCAAAGCCTCCTGTGTGGAGTTCTCCAGCTTCCTCCAAAAAACATCCATGTCAGGTTTAATCGGAGTGTGGTTGTTCGTATGTGTGCTGTGATTGACTGGGGACCAGTCCAAGGTTTACCCCACCGCTTGCCGAGTTAGCTGGGATACATTAGGTGCCAGTTCACCCACTACCGTAATGAAGTGGGAAAGGAAATGGATGAATATTATATAAATAGATTTTCCAAACAGAAGTGAAGATCCCTCTCAGTGATATGTCAGCCCTCTTTTTGGAGTGGTGTTAAAGGTCACAGCTGCAAAGGAAAAATGCATCAACACACACAAAACAACACTGTTCCCGTCAGGAGATGATCAAGAGCGAAAAGCCCCAGCCAATGTAACTGTGAGCGCATACTTTATACATGATTCTTTTTTTAATACCTGGAGGCTCTTATTTGTAAATGGGCATCTTTACACATACCAGAAGCCATCCATTTATGGTGTGAAACATACGCAACTATCAACACTATATTGTTATATGGGTGGACTGTACAGGAAATATACTTTGGTTGGTTCTAAGTACATCGGACCAGAAGATGTGATCATCTTGCATGCGACCACACGTAGAACAGCTGGTGTGAACAGCTGATGTTCAAGCTGACACTATACAGAATGATGCTTTGTTAAAGCCAATTATACACATATAGGTGTACACCATGAGTCAATCTTTGTCGTTCCTTTTCTGTTACTATCCACTAATGTAGCCAATTGCATATAGGGCAAGTTTTGAACGACAAGGTTTGTTTTCCTGGATACGAAAATGTGCTGTAACCGTGTTGTATGAAGCAAGCGTCACTGTCTAGTGTACCAAAGCTTTGAGGGCACCATTCCCATGACAAACCCAAGGTGACAATACAAGCTCAAATTTTGTGTGTATTGTATTTTTTTTTCCCCGTAAATGAGGTCAACTCAGGTGACGCAAGTTAACAGTTAATAATAAAATTGGCGAGTGTTATGTTGAAGCCTTCACTCTTTAATCCTGTTTGAACAGGATGGAAATACTTAGTCATCTGAAGGGTGGATCAGATATCATATATGCCAAAATCCCTCATTGAGACTTGATGGGCCATGTCTTCTAAAAAACAAAAAAACAAAAACAACATACACACACACACACACACACACACACACACACACACACACACACACACACACACACACACACACACACACACACAAACAATAACATTCTGATTCCAAATTGTTTCCAGAACTGTTACCTAATGTATCAAATTCAAAAATGCCAAATCCAATTGCACACTGAAAAATGGTGGTTGAATTTACTCATTTTAGGAAAGAACACTTTGCTGTTCCTGACGGCTCATGATTCATATGTTCTCACAGTATTTTCATTTATTATTCTTATTTTTGCTTAAGTATTAGAGTGACACCAACTACTGGCGACAGAGTAAGAGAACGAACAAATAAATAAATAAATAAATAAATAAGAGCCTGTATGCCAGGCTCATCCAAATAAACGCGAATGGCATCTTTTTTTTTTGTCTGTACTTTATGTTTACAAAAAAGTCTTTTGACTTAAAAATGAAATAGTGATGATAAAACAGTGCTTTGTAAGAAGAAACGTGTTTGGTTGGGTTAGATATTTTTGGCTGGTAAGATTTCCTCCAGCAGTTACTTGTATTCACGTGCAGTTTTAGGTTTTGAGCTCTAGAGAGCACCAAAGAACAACTAGTCAGTGATACCACGCAGTGACAAAGCGTGATGAAATTCTTGGAACGTTCTTAAACTAAACTGACATTTCCACAAATGTCCAAATTCCCTTGAAAAACGACGAATGAAGTAAACCTTCATTTGATCACATCGGTGTTGGTGCTTGAAAGCATTCTGAGCACATTAGGTTTCGGCAATGGATCACCAAGAGACTGTGGGTTTCTTTTCTCAGTAAACATTTTTGACCCCTTACTTGACACATATCCAAATAAATTATATTTCTTAGCTCGCACAACCCCCGCAGTGTCGTCTGGCCAAACTACTGTGAGGTCACATTGGCGCTGGAAACTCAATAAAGCGCCAGACCAAAGGAATTCGAAGGAAAAAATGTAATTTCCAAGGAACCGCGCGGTCCCAGCAGGGGGACATATATCAAGTAACAGGCGGGGAAATTCGTCAGAGAGCAAAATGATGTTAAATTGAGTTGGGAACTGCCCCCCCCTATTAAGTACCCGGTGGTGGAAAGAATCTTCCCACTTGGAAGGAAGCTTTTCCTCCTTGGACATCTGCGGGTGGAGCGCGCAGGAGGCAGAGAGGAGAGAAGGTGCACACAAGGAGGCTCCAACGCAAGGCTCTACCAGAATTCTCATCGTTCCATCTTTTGGCTTCTTAAGTAAGTGAGCCGCCCAACTTTATGCTTTTGACTTATCGACAGTTTATTCCTTAATAGACCGTGAAAGTTGTCTATGCTTGAATCGTGTTTATTATTATTTACAAATCGTTTTGAACATATTTTGACGACACGTCTAATCACAACTTATTCGGACCATTAGTACAATAACGTTTATAAATTACAAAGTAATACTATCAATCAATCAATCAATCAATCACTCTATCTATCTATCTATCTATCTATCTATCTATCTATCTATCTATCTATCTATCTATCTATCTATCTATCTATCTATCTATCTATCTGTATGGCATAGGTCGAACTATATTTTACAACTTGTCTAATTTTATCTTTTGTAGAGCTAGAGGAGGCACTAATGTAGTGATTGAGCTTTTCAGTGTTCACAGCTGCCCTGCTTTTGAGACAACCTAATGTATCATATAAGTTAATTTTAAGTACATTACAATCCAGTGTAATAGTTTTGAAAAAAACAAAAAATAAAATAAAATGAAACAACAGCAACAGAAAAAGGCACTTTAGATTACTTCAGAAATTGTTACCAGGCCTTTCATGGCTGCTCAAGCAGATTGTCTAAATAAACACAGGGAAGATAATTGAAGAAATCTGTTTTAAAGTAGGGCCACATGATAACCCAGTGCAGTGGTTCTCAAATGGGGCTACGCGTACCCCTGGGAGTCTGTCAGGGCTCCTCAGGGGGTATGTGAGATTTTGAACTACAGTACAGTATATCTAAAAGCAGTATCAACGCAAAAAAAGAGCTTGATAACAGCAGCTGCCTCCCTTCCATCAAGAATGATAAACATTCTCAGTAAAGAAACAGCAGTTGCCTCCCTTCCACCAAGAATGATAGAGATCCTCATAAACAAGACCAAGTGTCTCACAAAAAATGCAAAAAACACTCAGTTCAGTGTAGCAATGCAACAATCAGTGTTGACAGTTGGTAATGTTGTCAGTCTTCCTTTTAATCATTAAATTGATATTTTAAGATGTTTTTCAAGCAGTTTCTGCTTTTATTTACAAATAAAATTAAGTTAAGCATTTAATTTTGAGAACAGATCTGTACCATGATCGCAAAGGAGGACACTTTGTTGATGATTATTTTTATATGTACAAATCGTTATTTATGTATGTATGTATGTATGTATGTATGTATGTATGTATGTATGTATGTATGTATGTATATATTTATTTATTTTCGCAATGTCTTTTTTATTTTCCAATCCTTCTGGATATACTGTACCACAAAAAAATGGAATTACAAAGTTTAATAAATCAGAAACAGCACTTTGTTTTAAAGGTGAGGTCAACCCACAAAATATCTTTACAATATGTTCTATGTCCCTTCACTAGTCTGAACTTTGCATTTTGATTCATATTGCATTTGTGGAATATGAGTTAAGCACCAAAATAAACCGTTTTTTAGCCATCTCTTGGGGCGGCCATTTTGCCACTTTCTGTCGCCTGAAAATGACCTCACAGTTGCTCAAAGCTCAGGTAACTACCAATCACAGCTTACCTGTTTTCTGAAGCTGAGCCATGATTGGTTGTTACCTGTGCCTTGAGCAACTATGACATAATTTTCAGTTGGCAGCGAGTGGCAAAATGGCCCGAGATGGACGAAAACGGGTGGATTTTATTGCTTAACTCATAGACCACAAACGCATTATTAAT